CCAGTGGCAATATTATCATCATTCCAAATATACTCTTCAACCAGCGGCTGCCAGGCAGGATACGCCCACATTTTGCAAGAGATGGATAGAGAACAAGCTAAAAACAAACAGGATTTTTTGTACAATCAGGGGCAATAATCCAGAAAGTTATGGTCTGAAATGCCCAAATTTCAAAAGGGACTGATATCTTTGGGATTTAAAGATATGAAATGAAATGAAATGGGGTTTAACGTCCTACTGTTCTGCTCCTATACTGGGCTAATGAAGACGGGCATACGTCATACAGTGTGCTATGAGGGAAATTTTGCCCGGGCAGCGGCACTATTGCCTACTCTTATATCGAATTCCAACTGCCAAGGGATCTTTTACGTGCATTCCAATGTTTACACGGGACCTCGTTTTTTTTCGTATCATCCGAAGGACTAGACAGCTATGTTTTAAGTTTCATCAAAATCGGATAAAAATTGTGACCTCTAGAGGTTCCACAGCCTTCCTAGCATACTTTTACACAATTTGAGTGCAAAGTGAGGCCATTTTGTCCGGCAGTTTCATTTCGATTTTCCAGAAATTCGAATTCAATCTTCATTATGGTGGAATGGTGATATATTTAAAAGGTTTTTAAAATCGGAAAAAAACAATTGTGACCTCTGGAAAATCCGCATGCTAAAAATTCGATTTTTGTAACTATCAGGAGCCATAATCCAGGAAGTTATGGTGTGACAGTTATATATTCGAACGTTTTTTTTAAATCGAATATTTGTGACCTCTAGAGGGACCACAAGCTAAAAACGCGATTTTTTTGTTTGTACATTCAAGGGCCATAATTCAAGAAGATACAATCCGATACGCACGAATATCGGATCAAAACTGTGACCTCTGGAGGGTCCACAACCTTGATTTACCAGATGTTTTCACTATTTGCATACGAGAGGCCGCCATTTTGTCCAGCAGTTTTGGCCCGATTTTCACGAAATTCGACTTCAACAAACATTATGGTGTAACGGTGATATATTCAAACGTTTTTTTAAATCGAATAATAATTGTGACCTCTAGAGGGACCACAAGCTAAAACGCGATTTTTCGTACAACCAGAAGCCATAATTCAGGAAGTTACAATTCGATATGCGCGAATATTGAAAGGAACTAAGATCTTTGGGTTATAAACTTGCATTTCAAGTTTCATCAAAATCGGATCAAAATTGTGGCCTCTAGAGGGTCCACAACTTTGATATACCAGATGTTTACACTATTTGAGTACGAGGGGCGGCCTTTTTGTCTGGCAATTTTGGTCCGGTTTTCATGAAACTCAACCTCAGACAAAATTACGGTGTAACGGTGATATATTGGAACGTTTTTTTAAATCGGACAATAATTTTGACCTCTAGAGGGACCACAAGCTAAAAACAAGATTTTTCGTACAATCAGGGGACATAATTCAGGAATTTACGATTCGATATGAGCGAAAATAGAAGGAAACCAAGATAGTTGGGTTATAAACATGCATTTCAAATTTCATCAAAATCAGATGAAAATTGTAACCTCTAGAGGATCCACAACCCTGATACAAAATATTTTGACACTATTTGCGAATGAAGGGCGGCCATTTTGTCCGTCATTTTTGGTCCGATTTTTACGAAATTCGAACTCAACCATCCTTAATGGTGATATATTCACACGTTTTTTTGAATCGGGTGTAACGGTGATATATTCAAACTGTTTTGTAAAACGGATAAAAATTGTGATCTCTATGGGGTCCACAAGCTTAAAACATGATTTTTTTGTACAATCAGGGGCCATAATTCAGGAAGTTACGATCCGATATGCACGAAAATAGAAAGAAACCAAGATATTTGGGTTATAAACAGGCATTTCAAATTTCATCAAAATCAGATGAAAATTGTGACCTCCTGAGGGTCCACAACCCTGATACGCAATATTTTGACACTATTTGCGAACTCAACAATTCTTACAGTGTAATGGTGATATATTCACACGTTTTTTTTTAATCGGATAAAAATTGTGACCTCTATGGGGTCCACAAGCTAAAAACGCTTTCGTACAATCAGGGGCCATAATTCAGGAAGTTATGGTCCGATATGCGCGAATATCGAAAAGAACCAAGATCTGTGGGTTATAAACATACATTTCAAGTTTAAACCAAATCGGATAAAAATTGTGACCTCTACAGTGTTCACAAGCTAAAAACGTGATTTTTCATACAATCAGGGGCCATAATCCATGAAGTTACAATCCAATACATGCCAATATCGAAAGGAACCGAGATCTTAGGGTGATAAACCTATATTTCAAGTTTCATTGAAATCAGATAAAGACAGGTTGCCAGGCAACAAAACATACGCCCACAGCAGCTAAATCGTCCGGCTAGTCGTCAAGGGTTGTCACATATTTATTCTTTTGTAGGTAATTAGGGGAATTTAATAGACAATTTCATACAGATGACATTATAATTTTCGTTGTTTGAAGGTTCACAAGGTTCTAAAAACTAAAACAAGGGCCGTAACTCTGGAAGCAATCTACAGAAATTGTTCAAATTCGACAAGCTTTTTTCGTTTTACTAATTCAAATAATGCATATAAATTTCATACAGATCGGATGATAACTTTTGTTGTTCGAAAGTTCACAAAGTTCAACAAAGTAAATCAAGGGCCATAACTCTAGACGTAATTGACGGAAATTGCTGACATTCAATAGGCTTGTTTGTCTTCATTTCACTAATTCAGGTGATAACTGAAACTCAATAGGCTTGTTCGTTTTACTAATTTAAATGATACATATAAATTTCATACAGATCGGATAATAACTTTTGTCGTTAGAGCATTTACAAGGTACAACAAAGTGAAACAAGGGCCATAACTCACGACGTAATTAACGGAAATTGCTAAAATTCAATAGGCTTCTTTGTTTTAATAATTTAAATGATGCATATAAATTTCATACAGATCGGTTGATAACGTGAAACATGGGCCATAACTCCAGAAGAAATTTAACGGAAATTGCTGAAATTCAATACGCTTCTTCATTTCACTAATTTAAATGATGCATATCAATTTGAAACAGAACGGATGATAACTGTTGTTATTAGAGCCTTCACAAGATTCAACAAAGTGAAACAAGGGCCATAACTTACTAATTTAAATGATACATATAAATTTCATACAGATCGGATATTAACTTTTGTCGTTAGAGCATTTACAAGGTACAACAAAGTGTAACATGGGCCATAACTCACGACATAATTAACGGAAATTGCTAAAATTCAATAGCCTTCTTTGTTTTAATAATTTAAATGATGCATATAAATTTCATACAGATCGGTTGATAACTTTTGTCGTTAGAGCGTTCACAAGGTGCAACAAAGTGAAACAAGGGCCATAACTCCAGAAGAAATAAACGGAAATTGCTGAAATTCAATAGGCTTCTTCATTTCAATAATTTAAATGATGCATATCAATTTCAAACAGATCGGATGATATCTGTTGTCATTAGAGCGTTCACAAGATTCGACAAAGTGAAACAAGGGCCATAACTCTTGATGTAATTAACGGAAATTGCTGAAATTCAATAGGCTTCTTCATTTCACTAATTTAAATGATGCATATCAATTTCATACAGATCGGTTGATAACTTTTGTCATTAGAGCGTTCACAAGATTCAACAATTCGAAATTTGTCATGGTAATGATATAATGAATCTATATTCAGAGTTCCATCGCTCTCACTTCATTATAACCAAAGTTATCATGCCTCAAAGCATCAACCAATCAGATTGCTTATTTCTGCTTACCGTAAGCAGACATCGAGTTAGAGACTTAGCTACTTTAATTAGAACTAAAGTTATTGTGTCTCATGTATATCAAGGCATTCACCTAACAGACACCTATGCCAAGTGTGAACATTCTAACTCAATTAGAATGAGAGTTATTGTGTTCCAAAGTCTCGACCAATCAAATTGCCTATCGCTCTGCTTACCCTGAGCAGAAAATGCTCATTATCAAACTTAGTCAAGGTATTGATGTAAGGAAACTATACATCAAGTTTCATCACTCTCACTTAATTACAACTAAAGTTATCGTGTCCAAAAGCATCAACCAATCAAATTGCTTACCTCTGCTTACCCTAAGCAGAAAATGCTCATCTTCGAACTCCATCAAGGCATTGACTTAATAAACCCTACACCAAGTTTAAAGATTCTAGCTCAATTAGAAGGAGAGTTATTGTGTTCCAAGGTCTCGACCAATCAAATTACTTATTGCTCTGCTTACCCTGAGCAGAAAATGCTCCTTATCGAACTTAGTCAAGGTATTGATGTAATGAAACTATACACCAAGTTCCATCACTCTCACATAATTAGAAGTAAAGTTATCGTGTCCCAAAGCATCAACCAATCAAATTGCTTATCTCTGCTTACCCTAAGCCGAAAATATGCTCATCTACGAACTCCATCAAGGCACTGACCTAATAAACACCTACACCAAGTTTAAACATTGTAGCTCAATTAGAAAGAGAGTTATTGTGTCCCAAAAAGTGTGACGGACAGACTGACGGACAGACAGGCAGACAGACGGACGAACCCATTTTAATAGTCCCCTGCTTTCTTCGATAGGTGGGGGCCAATTGGAGTGACTGGCATACAGTATGATTATTCACGTTTGTGGTCAAAGGGGGAATAATTGTGTTCTGAAATACAAACACACAAATCCAGATGAAATAAACCCACAATGTAAATCTTAATCTGTAAGAATGAAAGTCACACAAATTATGTTGAAAGAAACACAGAATATTACGACACAAAACACACAAACTAAGGGATCAAACAGAACAACCTCAAAAATACGGATTCAGACACACAGTGCACAGACATAAAAACACATAATGTAGCTCTCGTTAGAAAACATTTTTAAAATTGCCACACAAACATAGCCACACAAATGCAGACAATATACGTCCACAAGAAAATGTGGGCGTATAAAAAAATCTTACCCGTATTCCAGAATCTGTAGAATTCTGAAGATCTGTAAAAAATACATCACTTATCAAACTATCATATTCACTTTTATATATACTCAGTCAAATTAAAAACTTGACACTCTGGATTTTTGGGACTAGATTTTTAATATTTGGTTTAAGGCAACTATTTTAGTGTTATGTTGTGCACAGACGACCTTGACATCAACAGAAAGCAAGAATACATCTTGCCGAAAGTCCTTGACATTGATAACGTTCGTGATGTCACAGTACCCCCCAAAATGAAATTCACAGACTTGGAGAACAATCGGAATAAAGTGTTTAGTAACGGTTGTGGCCTCCTCTAGCGTCTCGTACTGCCACACAACGTCTTCTCATGGATCTCAGAACATTAGTAAACACTACCGAGGAAGACGTCGCCACTGCTCAGCAAGAGCATGTTGAAGGTCCTGCAACGTCAGTGGTGGATTCAGTTGCTGACGAACACGTTGACCCAGTTTGTCTCAGATGTGTTCAATAGGATTAAGGTCGGGGCTAAGCGACGGCCAATTCAGGACTTGGACACCAGCATTTCTTAAAAAATTCTGGGTAGCAATTGCTGTATGGGGTCAAGCATTGTCTTGTTGAAACGTTAGTCCAGGCCCATGTCTCTGCATAAACGGAAGAACAGATTCCAAAATCTGATCCCTGTACTGGACAGCATTTAAGTTCCCTTGGACAACAACAAGAGGAGAACGTCCATGTGCACAAAAAGAACCCCAAACCATGACGCTGCCGCCACCAAATCGGTCAACTTCTCTGACGCATACTTGAGCGTAACGTTCACCTCGTCTGCGGTACACTCGGGCTCTGCCATCGGAAAATCTCAAAGTGAATCGAGATTCGTCACTCAAGACAACCGAATTCCACTGTCTTTGAGTAAATCTTATGTGTCTTGTGGCCCACACAAGTCGGTTATGGCAATGAAGAGGTGTCAATATTGGTCCATTATAGGGCCTCCGAGTCTGAAGACCAGCAGCCTAAAAGCAATTTCGAACAGTTTGTGCAGTTACCCTTCCACCAAACATCTCTCTACTTGTGGAGGTTGCAGTGACAAATCTGTTTCTAAGATGACGTAATGGTATTCTTTGATCTTCCTGGAGTGACGTCACACGTGGCGCTCCCGCCCTTGGGCGGTCGGCAATAGTTCCAGTTTGAAGCACTCTCATTCTAAGATTAATTATTGTCTGGCGTGAACAATTAAAGGCTCTTGCAACAGTGACCACAGACTGACCAGCATAGAGCCTACCTATAGCACGTAGACGTTAGGCACTGCATTTTCTAACAAAGATGAAAATAACAATTTTAATTTGTTTTTCCAGTTCAAGTTACGTGTGCGTGTTCAGTTTAAGCAAACTTGCATTGATTGACCTCACAAGTTTGTGTTTGCACGTGTTTTCCAGGTTTTTCATCTTTATATACTTAAAAGTCACGTGATCCATGTGACTTTACAATTTTATGAAATTAAAGGCTTCTTACTACTTATTATCGTTAGAAACACTTTAAAATTTATTTGACTTACCAGAAAAAAAAATTGTTGAAATTCATCAGTATCAAGTTTTTAATTTGGCTGCGTATAGTAATCAACAACCTTCACAGGTTCATTTATAAGAAAATCAAAAAGTAGGTGTGATTTTAATTTTCTAATATGATTGAAGTTAATCCACGTATTTATACATACAGTGATAATTCATTGAAATTCATGGATGACCAAACAGCTCTTTATTAAGTGTTCTCAGTTCTTAATTCATAGTCCTTAACTCTTATTTCTTCATATTTGTTGTCATATTTTGACATTTGCATCTTAAAATCAATATTTGTTTCACAAAGGATGCTAGTGGTGGGCTTTCAAATGCCAAAATCAACCTGGCATACAATAAGTCACCATACAATAAGTCGCTTTACCAGAAAATAATAGAGAATCAAGCGAGCATACAATAAATGAAATGGGGTTTAATGTCCTACTGTTCTGCTCCAACTGGGCTAATGGAGACAGAGCATACAATGAGAAAATTTGCTGGATGAACGTAAAATCATGTGCGTGGTATGGCCTTCAATAAATGAAATAAATTGAAAGTAGTCTGTTTTTAGTAATTAGGTTATTGTCTGAGAGTGACATATTCCTTTGCTCAAATAAAAGGGATTTTATCTCTTCTAAATTATGTAATCATGAATTTGCCAGGAAATAACTAATATATATTTAAAGAGTGATAGAAAATAATTACCTGTGATGCATTACACAATAACTGGAAATTCGTATTAAGACCCGTATTTTGACATTTAAATACTCCCCCGTTCCCCTCACTGAATAGAGTTCAGTACAATGCAAATTTGAGCTGTTTTCAAGGTACGTGAATGTGCCAGAAAATAATTCCCATTTTTTTAAAAAGGAAATAAAACTACTTTCCGAAATTTTACCTCTGTAGGACAAAATGTCGCTGAAATATGGCCATTTGAAATTAGGGTGCTGAAATGGTCCTTTAATTCAGTAATTTTTTTCCAGGTTTACAGGGGCTTTAAACTCACTTTTCAAATTGGTATGGAATTCTCTAACTTTTTAATCTAAGACAACTTTTGGTGTAGATTACGAATTTAGCATCACACTCAATGTACGATGCATACATTTGGCACAATGTGGACCAAATGAAATGAAATATTCAGTTTTTTTCAAGATTTCCACAGCCTCTGGCTTTGTCACTATTGTATACGGAACCTCCAAAATTGGTATGGTTAATGTCAGTTGGTCTTATATCATTTTACAAAAGATTCTGAGTCAATGGGATATATACTTTTCAAAATATTCAGTCTCAAAATTCCTTTTTCACTGAAAACATACAAAATTTACCCATTTTCTCTTTCAATTTTGGCCATGTGGGACGGGATAAGATTCTGAAAAAGGATGATAATTAAACTTCATTTACTCTGCTATAACATATATTAAAGTCCATCTTGTGTATTTGATGGCTTTTATTTTTAATTGGCACTTGAAATCTGTGCGGTGATGTAGTTTTAATGGCTATTATCAAAATTGTTGACTTTAAAATAACTTCTAAATGACCTATACCCCTCAAACGTGTCTATTTAGAGTGGCTTTTTGCATAGTTTAAAGCACCCGAAAACCTGAAAAAAGATAGGTTGCCAGGCAACGAAACATACGCCCACAGCAGCTATATCGTCCGGGCAGTCAACAAGAGTTGTCGCATATTTTTACTTTTTTCGGTAATGAAATATTTATAATACATTCAAATCTGATTAAGAGTAACAACTCATTAGAATTTGTTCTGCCCCATGCTAACATTTAGTATACGAAACTTTAGCTGTTCAAGTCATAAAGATTCATTGAAAATCAATATACTTGTTCGTCTCAAGACTTTAAACTCTGTGTATCAATCTGAAGTCAATCGGATATTAACATTAGCCACTAGAGCATCCACATAATTTTTAAAATCAATAGGCTTCTTTGTCTCATGACCTTAAACATTGTGTATAAATTTAAAGTCAATCGGATATTAACTTTGACCTCTGGAGCGTCCACAAGATTTTTTGAAGTGATCAAGGGCCATAACTCTGGCAGTAATTATCGAAAATCGCTGAAAATCAATAGGCTTCTTTGTCTCATGACCTTAAACACTGTGTATCAATTTAAAGTCAATCGGATATTAACTTTAGCCTATAGAGCGTCAACAAGCAATTGTGGATGCCGGACGGACGAACCGACGGACAGGGGCGACAACAATATACGACCACATTTCAATGTGGGCGTATAAAAATTACTGAATTTATGATCCGTTTCAGCACCCTAATTTCAAATGGCCATATCTCAGCAAGTTTTTCAGATTTGTTAGCTTAAGACCATATTATTACTATAACATACATTTTTTATAATTTTTTTGAAGGGGGTCATGCTCCCAACTTTCTGTAATTTGGTCCACTTGACTTGGACTGACCCTTTTGAAAAAGTAAATGAACCTTCTTGTTAGCCGTGTTCAGTGTGATATCTGGAATTTCGTATTATGGTCTATATTTTGACATTAATGGTTTTGAAATGAAATGAAATGATATGAAATGGAGTTTAACGTCCTACTGTTCTGCTCCTAACCTGGGCTAATGAAGACGGCCATACGCCATACAGTGTGCTATGAGGGAAATTTTGCCCGGACAGCGGCACTACGCCTACTCTTATATCGAATTCCAACTGTCAAGGGATCTTTTACGTGCACGCCAATGTGTACACGGGATCTCGGTTTTTCGTCCCATCCGAACGACTAGACAGCTTTCCTTGTCAGCCCCTTCCGTCCTGCATCACTGACAAGGGAGAACCACGCCGGAAAATCTGGATGGACTTTCTCGGCCAATGCAGGGATCGAACACCCAACCTCCAGGCTAGCGAGCAAGCGTCTTACCCACTTAGCCACATGATCCCCATTAATGGTTTTGAAAGATTGGTATTTGGAGATTTGTATTTGGAAATTGAATGTTCGAGATTTGTTTTTCATTGTATGTTTCTGACGACATGTAAATGTAATTTTTTGATTTTCTAAAATACATTTTATTTTTGTATTAAGATTCAATTAAATTAAACAGAGATACAATTTACAAATCTGATATGATGAATGTTTGATTTGTAAAACAAATATTGATTTTAAGATACAAATTTTAATTTTAGTATACAAATGTCGAAATACGACAACAAATTAAGAAATAACAATCAAAGACTATAAATTAAGAACTAAGTATTAAGTGAAAAGAAATAAGGTAATGATAAAATTACATATAAATACCTTGTCTTTCTTGGTCATGTTCATAATCTAAAATTTGCTGTAAAATAAATATCATTGAATTTACTTGAATTAATAGCTACCAGGGGTTGTATTTATTTAGTGAGAGGATCATAAAGTAGACTAGATTTTAAAGTGACTTATACCCACATATGCGTAGTTCCCAACCCGAATCCATTTTTATGGCAATTGGTATCCTTGGTGTATGCCAAAAACAGAAAAATTAAAAATTTTCATCAAGCCCTTTTCTAGGTACAGTGAATAACTGTGATCTTATTGGATTCTGAGATTTTCCGGGAAAGTAAGTTCTGGGAAAGTATTTTTTTGTTTGTTTGCGGATATTCACTTGAAATACTTGAAGTTTATTTTTGAAGTCATGCCTCACGAAGCTTGATAATGTTGAGAGATTACTCTACGAAACGTTGCCTTAAATACACTAGTAGCTGTTTTCCATAAGTATGTGTTTTGTTGTTACTCTATCCAGTTACTAAATGCCATTTAAAGAACATATCTTGTGAAGGATCTCTACCGAGTAAAAGGGCTAAATACCAAGATGGTGCTTTCGCCAAGAATTTCGTTGATAGTGGTGTAAAGAAGCTTATCATTATAGCAATTGTAGAGCACGTGAAGGAAACCTACGACAATCTTACTGGACAGAGTGGATTTTGTGGCAGCATTCAATCTCAAACTGGTGAATGCTTTTCTAGGTTTGGGGGACTCATTTGTCCACGTGCCCGTGCTCATGGTGCGAATTACCAAAATCAGAATTCGGTAATCATGATCGTATAATCAACCTCAGAACCTTAGGAGCAATTCGAAGAAACGCTGTGGAATATCAGGCCACTGCTGTTGCCCACAAGGGCAAGAGAGCTCTCTCATCCGCTGCTTTCAAAAGCTGTGAGCATACGCCGTTGACCAAAAGCTTACCCGATGGTGTGCTTGTCGTGGACATGCTGCCTGTGATGGAATTACACGTTATGTTAGGAATCACCAACTGTCTCTACAACCAGGTTGACCAGTTGGAGAGTTCCCGAGGGACTAGCATAGCAAAGGATTGGTTGGATCAATTAAGCCTTCGCAGACCGCAGATGCATGGCGGCGAGTTCAACGGTCAGCAATACGTTCAACTGTTAGAGAACACTTTCTGCTTAGAACAACTTATGACCGAGAACAATCTGGGAGAAGAAGGGCATAGAGTGATATTCGCACTTCAATCCTTCAATGATGTCCGAAAGAAATGCTTCGGAAAAGTACTGCATGCTGACTATAAGGAATCGATTTCAGCATTCGAACAGTTGTACAAAAATATCGGAATTCCGATAACGTCGAAATGACATGCGGTTTTCGACCATGTCCAACAGTTTCTGGAAACACAGAAGGAGTTGTATGATCAGAACCAGAGTCGATTACCAGCTATGGAGAGGCAATCCTTCAATCGCGGGCTCAGATTTTGGAGTGAGCAGGCATCGGAGTCTGTTCACTCCGATTTCAGTAAATTGTGGGAAAGTGGGGGGTTTAAGCGCGACATGAGACATCCGGAATACGCTAAAAAAAACTGTTAAAATCTGTTGTAACATATTGTTCAAGGCATACATAAACTGTGAACTGACAGAACTTGCTCTACGGATTGTTGTATCTGAAATATTGGATTGATTCGATAAAAAATGAATATTTACTGTTTTTATAGAAAGGGCTCGATGAAAATTTTTATTTCTTCTATTTTGGTGGTAGATCAATTGCCAAGTCTCGGATAAAAAAGAAATTGAGTTGGGAACTTTTTTTTAACCCTATCGGAACTTCAACGCATGTGTGACCAGTATTGAATCCTCTTCATTAAGTTGTTATAGCCTTTTGCCACGAATAAAGATAGGTTGCCAGGCAACGAAACATACAAACACAGCAGCTAAATCGTCCAGGCAGTCAACAAGAGTTGTCGCATATTTCTACTTTTTTCGGTAATGAAACATTTATAATACACTAAAATCTGATTAAGAGTAACAACTCATTAAGTAATTATCAGAAAATCATTAGAATTTGATTGGTTTTTATAAAGTTCTGTCCCATGATAATGTTTAGTATACGAAACATTTAATATCATGGATTTAGCTTTTCAAGTTAACAAAATTCATTGAAAATCAATATATTTGTTCGTCTCAAGATCTTAAACTCTGTGTATCAATATGAAGTCAATCGGATATTAACCTCTAGATCTAGAGCATCCACAAGAGATTTTGAAGTGATCAAGGGCCTTAACTCTGGTAGTAATTATCGGAAATTGCTGAAAATCAATAGGCTTCTTTGTCTCATGACCTTAAACACTGTGTATAAATTTAACGTCGATCGGATATTAACTTCGGCCTCTAGAACGTCCATAAGATTTTTTTAAGTGATCAAGGGCCATAACTCTGGCAGTAATTATCGGAAATCGCTGAAAATCAATAGGAGTCTTCGTCTCATGACCTTAAACACTGTGTTATGGGCATTTGTCATGAGATGGTTAAGCACATTATCCCCAATGAGTTATGAATGAAAAAGATTTCTGCATGATGGGTACCAACCCATTGGTCTGTGAATCACAAATTTGTCAGATTCTTGACATCCAGTGACAATGATCTGTGCTGTTTTCAACATATCCTGATAATTTATTAGCGAGATTTTTAACCATGGAGGAGACCTGGATTCATCAGTTTCAACCAGAACCCTAAATTCAGTCAAAACAATGGGAACATCCAGAGTCGCAAGTTCCCAAAGAAGCCAGGTCGGTTCCTTCTTCTGGAAAGGTGATGGGTTCTCTCCTTTAGGATTCCAAGGGAATTCTGTTGATTGACTACTTTGAAAAAGCCAGACTCTGAATGGAAAATACTATAAAGGCATCCTTTTCCTTCAAGGCAATGCTCTTGTTCATAAATCAGTCATAACCGTTTCAGTGATCCGTGATTGTGACTTCAAACTCATCGGACTGTCCACCCTGCTTACCCATTTTGGCATTACCAGGTCATGATTTTCCTACTACCGGTAATAAGGACCTCATGTCAGCTGTGAATGACCTTATTTTTAGGGTTTAATACTAAAGATAATTTGTTCGTGACCAGCATCCGGGCCTTGCAATATTGTTTACAAAAGTGTGTACATCTGGAAGGGGATTGTAGAAAAATAAATGGAAACAATCAACTTTATACAAGTCTTTCACATATAGGCTTAGAAATTTGCAGCGAGCCCTTGTATTTATTTAAGTTGAATAGGTTTGGTTTGATACATGATGTTATAATTATTCATGTATTATTTGTATTCTATTTTAAAACTATTTAAAAAAAAATCATTGTTTTTAATAATTATTAAATAATAAAACATACAAAGATTTTAAAGATTTATTCATCCATGTCGTTATTGATTTAGTATATTACTGTGTATAGTATTTTTACACATTCAACCATTAATGAAGTTTTCCATACAAAGTATAAATACATTTGTAAGGGATAACTTTTACAATTGTTTCCATGTTCTTCCGATTGTCATATTTTGTTTATCCAATCAAATGTGTATTATATAATGATGTGCAGTATACAACCCTATGATAAAAAAAAAATAAGTAGAAATGTGTAATTTTCCTTTGCTTTGTCACCAAATTATTTGTGTAAAGGCCATTTTACACGATCCTACTTTTGTTCAAGAACATCATCCAACATTTGTAGGATGATGTTCAAGGTCATGAGGCGTCCACGAACATGTCAATTTACACCATACAACATTTAGAGAACATGTTCAAGATTGTTGATGGATTTTGGAGGGAAACTTCACTGTTCCATCATGGATTCCCACAGAAGGTTGGTTTCCATTGGAGCAATTAGCAATCAATCAACCAATCAGTTAGATTTAAAAGACAATTAGATTGCCCCATCATATATTATATGTTAATAGGGTTGGGCGAATGATGACATTTTCCTTGCAACCGATATAAAACGAGTGTTTTCTATGGCCAAATTTTCCGTAGAACACGAATCCGTCAATAATTTTTGGTTAGAGTGACGTTTGACCCCGGTATAATTAAAAAATTCAAAATGGCCGCCAAATTTTGGCCATATTTAGTCAATTTCCATACCACCCATGCATGTAATATGTCGTTAGTAATGTTTTCGGGGTCACAGAACTCATTGGTGACATTTATACTACCACCTGGGGTTCTGGTTTGGAGATATATGCTATATCAACGATAAAGTATTTAATTTCAGCATTTCTCAGCAACACTTTCTTCTGTTTTCAGCCTGTTGCTGGAGAATTATGTTGTTAGTTCGTTGTTTTATTGACAGACGACAGTAGTACTAGCAGCGCCAACATTATGGCAACAGGCTCAGAGTACAGCACTAGAAGTGAAACATTTTCAAGGACTCTTTTAGATACTGTATATAAAGAAGAAAGTGAAATTAAATGTGGTTCTACGTTACCGAGTGGTCGACAAATAATATGCCGTATTATGGACTTATGTAAGACTGTGAAGAAGGGACAATTGCAAACGTCTTCAGCTGATGGAAGCAAGGTAGTAGCGAAAGAGCTCCGTGAATTGTGGATAAACATGAATGTATATCCATTACATGAACAGAGTGTCACAAAGAAGATACTGAATGAATACGAACAGTTCAAAAATTTATGTAAGCAAGCAAAATGCGAGAAGTACACAAAAAGTAAGGCCTGGGAAGATAGGGCAAGAAAATTCAACGAGTCAATGACGAAAAACGCATATGATATAAGGACTAAGAACCGAGAATATCAGAAGAAGTTAGAAGAAGAATACGGTGTTAAAATGTCAGAAGAAGACGAATTATTTTATCATGATAACTGTCACGGTGATTATGTCGCTACATGTAAATCATCTGTTTCGAGTTCGTGGTTGAAGAAGAAGAAACGCGAGCATGCAAGAAAGCAATCGATTGAAAAGAAGCAGAATGAAGAAATAGAACATCAGGAGAGGCAGAATGTCAGTAAAAGACTTCGATTTGAAGAAGCAATGTCAGATGAAGATGATCCTGATCTAGATCCCACATT